TGTTGGGTTTGTGGAGGCTTGGGCTTGACTTTTTTGGCCCGGCCCATGTTACGAAACCCTAGATGCACTCTTCCTATATATATTGCATACTTGTACTTGTAATCGACACCACAAGTGAAATAAGAAAATCCTCCTGTTGCAGCCGTGGATTAGGGAAACCGAACCACGTTAAATTCTTGTGTGTCGTTTGTGTTCTGTTTCTCTCTTGATTCTCGCAGATATCTGTGTGTGTTGTGTGTTTAATTCCCAACAATACTTAACTCTTGAGAACAATTAATAGCTAGGGTAATGCTTTTTTATATTTTTGAATGAGAATCATGTATGGGAGTTGGTGTGGGGGGCTGGGATTGGGTTTCTAGGGTGAGTTTATACAATATATACGGAATATATGGTTTTCTTTTCGTTAACATAACTAACTAACTCATAAGCACATCAATCTGAATGCGAACATTTTTTCAGGATATGGGAAGCCTTTCTGGTTATTCTGGTAATCTACACTGCTTGGGCATCTCCTTTCGAGTTTGGTTTTCTGAGAAAACCAGGAGGCCCGTTGTCTATTCTGGACAACATTGTGAATGGATTCTTTGCAATAGACATCGTCCTCACCTTCTTTGTAACATACCTGGATAGAACCACATGCCTTCTTGTAGATGACAGAAAACAAATTGCTTGGAAGTATGCAACTACTTGGCTGGCATTCGATGTCATATCCACAATCCCTTCGGAGGTTGCTTTGAAAGTTATGCCAAAACCTCTATCATATGGCTTGTTCAATATGCTTCGCCTCTTGCGTCTTCGTAGGTTGGGAGCTTTGTTCGCGAGGCAAGTTCTTCTTTAGCAAGCGTTGTTTAGATAATGAAACAGATGAACAGATGAATAATGAAAGAGATAAACTTAGAAAAACACTGGAACACATTGATAACGGAGTTGATCAACTTAATTAATATGCTTAATGTGGGAGCAAGAGCATATATATAACCCCAGCTAATAGGAGGTTGGTTTGTGTTGTTGTAAGAGATTTTGTCCACACACCTTAATTTGACTTTTTATTTAATTTGTTTATGCAGACTGGAGAAAGATAGAAATGTTAACTATATCTGGGTTCAGTGTGCAAAGCTTATTTGTGTAAGCAAACTCTAGTTCTATCTAGGCGTTGTTTGTTTTTTGTCATTTTGATAGCAAGGGGTGAAACTAGTGTTGCTAATCGATGTATCAGTATTATTAGATCTCTTCTTACAAGTTAAATCAAGTTTCATTATGGTCTAGTGCCACTTCCCTCTAAACTTGCCGTGGTCTACACCGGACTGGAAGTGGTTTCTACAGGTCACTCTATTTGCTGTGCATTGTGCTGGGTGTTTCTTTTATCTTCTGGCTGCTGATTATCGAGACCCAAAAATGACATGGATAGGGGCATCTATGGAAGATTTCCATCACAAGAGTCTATGGGTTCGCTACGTGACTTCCATATATTGGTCAATCACAACCCTCACATCTGTTGGGTATGGTGATCTGCACGCTGTTAATACCCGGGAGATGATTTTTGACATTGTCTACATGCTTTTCAACTTGGGCCTCACTTCTTACTTGATAGGAAACTTGGTTGTCCTTGGCACCAGCAAGACAAGACGATTTGTGAGCATATCTTATCTCTTGATTATTAACAATTTCACTAATATTACCTCGATAAATATGGTCTGCTAGGGTGATGTTGTTCTTGTATGGTCTGCTTGGGTCTTTTTGGATGTCGGGCTTTGGAGGGATAAGACTATATTTACCCAAATAACATTTAATGTGAGCTGTGTTTTTTTTTTTTGGGGGGGTTAATGGGCAGCACTTGAAGGAGATGAATGATCCGATAATGGAAGGAATTCTGACAGACAGAAAACATGTTAGCAAGGGGAAGAATGGAGCTGCCCCTCACCCTTTGCTTTGCGACACTCAGAGGGGACCATTTGCTGTTGAATCACTTGTTGAAGAGGGGCTTAGACCCTAACGAATCCAACAACAACGGCAGAACCGCTCTTGTGCGTTTTCTCGCTCTCTCTCAACACACTCAATTTTTTTTACAGCAATTCTTTCTCTTTTTTTCCTCGTCTCGTCCGTTTTCAATTGCTTTCTTTCACTATTTTCCTTATTTTAAAAAACCGACTCAATCAAATGCTCAAACTTGTGACTCAAACAAATGCCCGAACTTGTGGTTGTAGCTAGACTCAAATCTTTTACACTCTAACACATTATTATTATCAGCATATAGCAGCATCCAAAGGACATGAAAGCTGTGTGGTTCTTCTTCTGGACTTTGGTGCAAATCCCAACCTTAAAGGTACATTTTCTTCTGGTCTGTCAACATAAAATGAACTTATTTTCCTGACCTTAATTTTCAGAAACCATTTTTTTGCCATTGTTTTGAATGAACCCAGATTCTGTAGGGAGTGTACCATTATGGGAGGCCATTTTGGGAAAACATGAACCGGTCATTAGGCTACTTTTGGGCAACGGTGCAAAAATATCTTTAGGGGATGTAGGCCAATATGCATGTCTGGCAGCAGAGCAGAACAACCTTGAGCTCCTCAAAGAAATTGACCATTGTGGCGGGGATGTAACCCTCCCCAAAACCAATGGGCCCACCACGACGGCTCTCCACGTCGCCGTCTGCGAAGGCAATGTGGAGGTTGTCAAATGCCTCTTGGAGTGTGGGGCCGATGCCAGGAAGCCGGACGAGTACGGGTGGACCCCACAAGACCTCGCAGAGCAACAAGGGCATGAGGATATCATTGCGCTGTTCAAATCCCTCACTGAGGACCGTCGTTCCATCTACGTTGCTGGCTCTCAAGACCAGCCAAATGGGTCTCGCTTTCTCGATAAGTTCAAAAACAAGCCCAAGATGCTCCCAGCCTATGCCGCTAGACAGGTTGACGGGTCTATGTGGTGGCTGTCCCACCCCAGGCGGCATAGGACAAACGGCTTCCACGACTCGCTGTTTGGCATAATGTCCACTGCCCATAAAGATAGTGACCAAACTGCCCGCTTCCCCGTGAAGGAAACCGCATCAGCGGAAAAGCGTTACGCCTCGACGAGAGTGACTGTAAGCTGCCCCGAGAAAGGAGACATCACCGGGAAGGTGGTGTTACTGCCTGAGACCTTCGAAGAGCTGCTCCATATCGGGGTTAAGAAGTATGGTTTCTTGCCTTCAAAGATTCTGAGCAAATCATCAGGAGCAAGAATAGATGACATTGTATTGATCAGAGATGATGAGCATTTAGTTTTTGCAGGTGACAATATAACATCATCATGTGTCAAATAAACCCCCAAAACTTTTTTTTGGAGTAAAATTTTATTCGGTTTATTAACAACATTACTCTAGCACCTCAAAGGCTCTCGCTCATCATTGTGGGATAAGAAGGTTGGGGTCGAATATATGTAGTCTGATCTCTATGTTTAAAATATAAAATGACTTTTTTTATTTTTGAATGACTCATGATGAGTGTCAGGAGTTACATTGAAATATTTAATTCTTATTTCACTATAAAAAAAGCACATACAACTTAAAAATCCATTTTATTGAGTTTGTTATTGTGCTAAATAACCAAATTATGGCATGATATATATATATATATATATATATATATTCATATGTATATATGAATATATATATATATATATATATATATATATATATATATATATATATATATATATATATTCGACCCCAACTCCGGCGAAATTGACGGCGGGCACCAACTCCAATGCGGTCGTGGAATCCGGCGACCTCCAAGGACCCCTCAATTGCAAGATTTGATGACGATTTGAAAAACCCCCCATTTTGGACCCAATTTCGATTTTAGGGTTTTTTCGAGTAGAAAAATTCAGATTCGAGAAGTTACAGGCCAAATTAGACAAAATGGTTTGGATATTATTGATCCTCATCTCAAGACGAAGAGAATGACATTGGTCTCGCCGGAATCGGTAAAAGTTCATTTTCCGGCGACTTTGACCGGCGGGCGGCGGCGGCGTGGCCTGGAAGAAAAGAAAAGAAGAAATGGGGTCAAATTGAAAATTTTAAAATATATAAAATTCGAATTTGGCCCTAATGACCGGAAGTTAACCTAGAAACGGGCTAATGGCTCATTAGTGAAAGGATTGTGTAAGTTCAGGGATTTTTGTGAAAGGATTTGAAGTTCAGGTACCACTTCGAAATTCCAGCTAAAGTTCAGGTACCATTGGTGAAATTTACCCAGAGAAACCCTATTATTTAGATGGATTAGAAGTTAAAATTTTGAGCTCCCTCCCTTTCGTTTTTTTTAAACCAAANGGCCTGGAAGAAAAGAAAAGAAGAAATGGGGTCAAATTGAAAATTTTAAAATATATAAAATTCGAATTTGGCCCTAATGACCGGAAGTTAACCTAGAAACGGGCTAATGGCTCATTAGTGAAAGGATTGTGTAAGTTCAGGGATTTTTGTGAAAGGATTTGAAGTTCAGGTACCACTTCGAAATTCCAGCTAAAGTTCAGGTACCATTGGTGAAATTTACCCAGAGAAACCCTATTATTTAGATGGATTAGAAGTTAAAATTTTGAGCTCCCTCCCTTTCGTTTTTTTTAAACCAAACAAGAGGAGAGAATGAGTTTCCCTTTCCTCCCCTCCACTTCCTTCAGCCTAAGAGAGTAACCAAAAGTAAATACATTGTGCAAAGAATTGTAGTGCGAGTCAAAGAAACAAAAGCAAGGGGATCTTCATGATGTTAAGCATTTTTCATTGCTCTATTGGAGGCAAGGGTAAACTTGTCCTAAGGGTTTAATGGGCAGCCAAAATGTTTGGACTTTTATGCTAGGAACGCCTCACTTTCTTAACCATTTTCATTGATTATTTGATAAAATAAAATAATCATACCACCACTTGTTTTGTATATAGTTTATATATATTTTCGGAATATAATTTTTATTTTTTAATTTTACATCATTTTTTACGTATATTGATTTAAAAATTATTTCAGACAAGATCGTAAAACAAACATGAACTTTATTTTGAGACAAAGGGAGCATATGAGAGAATTAACATGAAAGATGGAGTGAAAGTTGGTGACTTTAGCAACTTTTCTTATGTAGCAATCGAACCTAGGCGGATAGGAAAAGAATGAAGGGACGGGGGGGAATCTACCAGAGTCCCGACCATACGTCCATACTCCTTTTCCCGACAGACTATATAAAACTATATCTGCTGTCAAATTACTACTTGGATGGATTGATTTGGCAGTCCTTTGTGTTTTCCAAGGATACTACTTAGTTTTTCCATCGCTTGCCACTCTGAGAATGGCCTCGTACCAAACACCTTATGAGACAACACCTGAATTGCAGCATTAACGCAGTCTAAAGAAACACACCCACACTAAGGGGGTCTTAAAATCCATGAACATCCAGAATGACTGTGCTTAGTTAGATGCAATTTGGCAAATACAATTAAGAACGAGACTGACTAGAGAGCCTAGTAGATGGGAGCACAGAGAGAGTAACAATACCAGAAAACAGGTAATCAATCACCTAATCATTCCTTAGAAGACTTGTTGATGAGTGACTTGTGGATGTGAGGGATGACTCCACCGCCAGCTATAGTTCCTTTGATGAGGGTGTCTAGTTCTTCGTCGCCCCGAATTGCCAGCTGTAAGTGCCTTGGAGTGATACGCTTCACCTTCAGATCCTTGCTCGCGTTGCCTGCCAACTCCAACACTTCTGCTGTCAGATACTCCAGAATGGCTGCAGAGTATACTGCTGCTGTCGCTCCCACTCTTCCATTCGCCGTTGTTCTCTCTTTCAGCAACCGGTGAATGCGTCCAACGGGAAACTGTAACCTCAAAAACAGATTTTCCAAATAAATAAAATTAACATATAAAAAAAACTTAAAAAGTAATTCATACAAAGGTGATGATAGGTAGGTGTATTTGAGCTATGGGTCTCTTGGAAGTAGGGGTACGGTCTGCATAAAATCACACCCCCCTCCACTCTACTTTTGTAGATTTTACTGGGTTGTTGCTGGTGTGATGATAGGTTAAAATCAACTTTGGTTTATAATGCAGATATAAAAAATATATATTGGAGTTCATATCAATTCATGAAAAGCTAACTACTCTTCAAAAGTATCATCGTAGCTAACTTGGCAAAAGCCAGCTACGAACCAAGCTTCCAGATTATTGCTTGCATCAGTTAATAATAAAACAGTTCATCTTCAAAGCTCAGAAGTGTGGATATAGGGAGAAATGCATAGCTTGTCACCACATATTACAAGAATTCTTTACCAGGGCAGAAGCTTAAGACTTCATTGACTACTTTATGACAACCATTATTACAAGCAATGTTCTACCGCGATATGATAATATCAAATAATAACCAAATAAGGTTTGTTACTGGTGAGTGGTGATACTTGCAGAACCATGATGAAAAATTGAAACAATGAATAACGTGTTAGTAAATGAGTTTTGCCTGCAGGTAAAGGTTTCTGGCTTAAAGGAGGTGCTAGTTCACCAAACATGCATGCTTTGAATCACTTTTTAAGTGTTTAAATTTTGAGGTGTTTTGAATCACACTTGATTCACAAAAATATAAATTTGCATTATTATATAGTAATTCTTACAAATGAGAGTGTAAATATAACAGCCCAAGGAAAGTGGTTTATGCCTACTTGCTGGCTAGTTTGTTTTTTTTTTCTTCAAGAAACAGAGTCTTCAAGAGAGAAAACGGCAAAGAGATAGAAGTCCTAGCAGGGCCTGACAGAGGCAACCATGTCATCAACTCTCTCTTAGATCCTTTATATAATACATGGGTATAAGGATTCTTTTTTTTATTGTATTTCACGATGTACTTAAGCAGTTAAGTTGTTTTAAGATAAATCCAAAGAAGGAGGATTTTGCGCTATTCACACTTGATTACCTTCTGTGATTAATACATAAACAAAAATTTAGCCATGTGGGATTTTGTTAGATTTGTTTTGATATAAACTTTTGTAGCACTGGTTTTTATAATTTTTGCTAAAACATAATTGAGAATATTATTGATTTACTTAAGGCATTGGCAAATGTGAAAATTGTTATATTGCATTTATTTAAGAACCGATGAAGTATAATACGGGTAGAAAGATACTGTCTTTTAGATTTCTTTATCATTTTTCATCTTGTTTAACACTCCCTCCTTCCCATTATAAAGTTTCATAGTGGAAGTAACATGTTTATTAAGAAAGTGAAATTGTCTTGAAAACAGAAAGAATGTCAACCATGCAATTCTTCCCTTAAAAGAAAACTTAATTGTATGATGTGATTGTGGGGACACGGGGTAACTAAAAAAGAAAACGAGACTAGTGATTTTTATATTGGAACAGTGTTGTTATCTTTTCAACATTCCAATTATTAATAGAAAAAAAACATTAACTTCTACACACATTTTATCTTTTAATATGGACACAAGGATAAGGTAATTTTTATTTACCACTAATTAAATTTATTTGGATGTTGAGCTCAAAAACAAGGTACAATGAACAAAGGGGAAGAATGCATCAAAATTCTAAATCATGTGTTATGTTGAAGTGGGGGTTCAACAGGATACATACACATAATACATTGTAAGGCTTAGAGTTTTGACAAGTGAACTCCAAAAATGCTCACAAAATGTAAATGGGGAAGATGAGCATGCAAGGATGGAAATGTTATAACCAATATAAGAGAGAAAATAATGAATGAGGTAATAATAGGCGAAGTAGGACTAATCCGATAGAGAATAAGTTCACGGAGATCTATTTGAAATGGTTTTACCCGAGGATATTTATCTTGTTCAATCGTACGTACTGCCAAAATCCGTACCAACATGTTTCTACTTTCTGGTACAGTGAAAAATCTGGTATCGTACCAAATTTTGATTATTATATTATACTCCCTGTCCATTTTTTATCTTCCCACTTTTCTTTTTCGTCTGTCCACAAATTATCTTCTCATTTCCTTATTTGACAATTTTTTTTGGACTAAATGTCTCACTTACCCTTTCACTTCTCAAGTTCTTTCTTCCGTCATTTCCTCTACCCATCTTTAACCTCTGCCATTTCTTCTTCTTCCCATCTAAGCCGACTTCTCCCTCTTCCCACCTACCCCCATCTTCTTAATCCTCCCACAACAACCTTATCTTAATCCGTTATTTGATCATCTGCCTCCTCCTCTCTCAAAGGATCTTGGTCTCAGATCTCCCCAACTCTAGATTTGATTTTGGATTGACCGTCGGTGTCGGTCTCGAGATTCTGCCCTAAACCCTCGAGTGCAGAGCAGGGAATTGGAAGTGCAGCAACGACGGCGGCTCCCCTGGAAGTGTAGCGATGGCAAATATAGATGGTCAGCGGTGGCGGTGTCTGATTTTAGGTGGCTGAATCAGCACCATAGCGGTGAGGAACGGCAATTGAGACATACAGAAGATAAAAGAAAGTGCAGCGGTTGGAACCTCCAAGCACACCGAGAGCTGGCAGCGACGAATGAAACTAGATGACTGTGGCAGGCTGGCAGTCGCAAGACAAATTGACGATTAGATTTTGTAAAAGGAGTGGACGGTGATGCTGGCTAGGCCAAGCACCGGATGAGGACTAATCATCGACGACAACGATTAGAAGCGGAGAGGGTGAGACCTTTGATTCTTTTCCAGCTTCTTCTTTGAGACACGAACATCGAGCAAGAGAGAGGGTGACTGGGTAACTATCGGTAGGGAAAATGGGGAGGGACATTATTGGAAGTCAATGTAAATCTTATTGTCTCTTTACATTCGTGCCCGGTCAAAGCGAGAAGATAAATTATGGTCAGAGCCCAGAGGGAGTATTAGATCATGATGTTTTCATTTAATTTTACATATTATGTTATAATTTGTCTAAGTTTTTATGTTTTGAAAGAATTGATGTTGAATGAGATATTAGCCCATCTTGTACCAAACACATGAAATTCATTATTTGTGTGATAATCAGGTGGCATTGAAATTTGTACATTTTTTTGTACACAATTATACTTACAATAGTTGTAAATTAAGAATTTTCAATGACATAAGATATATTTATAAAATTACCAATGAAACATTTACTCCGTATAATATATGCTTTTTATCCCAGTACAAGATATCCAATACCAGCACGGTACGTATAATTTCTGATGTACTTGGCCAAGATTTACAATATTCTAGGTTCAAATTGCAATAAGAATTTTATGGGAACTAAATCAGTGTTAGATGTGTTTGTCTTGTTTCTTGTAATTGTTAGTTGATTTCCAATCTCTTGAGTGTTATTGGATTAAAAATAGCCCTTGAAGGATAATGCTTCACCTTAACTCATTACAACACTACTTGGATCTATCACATAAGTGATGGTCTCATGGGGGAGTACACCATGTAGAGCTTTGGTTCTGTATTTTCTTCGTCAGGTGAATGAGATCCTAAAAGTGAGGTGGATTGGCCACATTTAGCATTGTTTGAACAAAAAGGCACTAAAGCAGTATCATTCCTATCATGAATATTGTATTAACCTAGTCACACAAGACTAAATTAATAAATGTGGGGTGGATCTCTATTTAACAATGGGACAAACAATGAGGGTCATGCTTAATGGTAATTGTTAATGCTACTTCAATCTTTAAATTCAATGCAACACTCTTTACAATGAATTCATGATAAAAACAGAACCCAAAACCACTTTGTATACAATACAATCAGTCAATCACATGTTCCATAACAATTAACCATTCAGCCATTTCAGCACATTCAAAAATGTGCACTCCCTAAAAGAAAAATGAGCAATCACTGTAAGTCTAAGAAAACAAATATTCTTTGGAAAAGTTAGTAGAATAAAGACTAAAAACAAATAAAAACTGAAAATATCATTTTCTTAGAAAATATTAGCCTTCATACAGAACGTTACAGACAAGAAAGTGAGAAACCATGTAGCTTGAAATTCAGACAAGAAGCGAAAGCACATATAAATTCAAGGTCTTCCTTACCCTACAACATCCAAAACCCTTTCTTCACATACCCAAAATGATAACATGCAGATGAGAAGAGACAAGCAGTCAAACACATAACCCAAAACCCAGTAATAGATCCCAGCAAATCTCACATAGAAAATTAACACTACACTCCAATGGTAAAGTTCAATTGATTAAAATCAAACAATCAAACAAAAAAACTCAGGTCCTGAACCATTAAATCAGACGAAGACATTCAAGCAGAAAGATGCATCGTAGATCAATGAAACCGCAAATTGAAGAGGAAAAACCGAAAGATCTAAAGAAACAAGAGAGGGGGAGCCGAGAATTCGAAACCTGGAGACCGGCGCGAGATGAGCGAGAGGTGGGCTTCTTCTTGTCCTTATCTTTATCTTTGGCCGCGCTGGCCGAGGTTTTGCCCATGATCAAACCCTTGGCGCCTTTTCCCGACATCTTGGCCCGAAAATTGCTCCGATTTGAGAGATGAGAAGGGCGAGAAGAAGAAGCAGTCGAATAGCCGGAGATCGAGCCGGGGGAGAAAAAGGCAAGTAGGCAACTCATCTATCCATAGATCTGTGTACTCTGTACTCATAGCGGCGCCGGAGTCTATGCGGACAATTTTGCCCTTTCCTTTACTTCTAATTACGAAATAGTTTGATTGGAATAAATTTTGGTGTGATAGAGTGTAATTATATTTAAAGACGTTTCTGATCTAACCTGATCTGATTCCAATAAGAATTCATGTTGGGTAAAAAATAAATTAAGGAGAACATTATTGATTCTATTATAAATTTATAATGTAATATATTTATAATGTAATATAGGAGAGAGTTGAGGGAACTTCACTTCCAATGCATCAAGTATACACCAAGGTACAAATAGGCACAAACATTCACTCAATGTATGTGCGTACATAGATATTTAATGTATGTGTATGCCTATTTATGTTTGGGTGTCTCAAGTGGGATTCTCCGAGTATTATTGTTTAATATGTGTTCATACTTTTGAAATTTAGTAACACATATTGAGTCAATTCCTCTAAGTGTGTTGGGAGTTAAATTTGGATGAGTTCCCTAAGCATTGGTATTCTTTTAACATTCTACAGAATACAAAAATATGTAAGAAATTACTTCGTAAATCATAAAAATTATGTAGCATATATATTATACCGTATAATATTTGTTTAAAAAACTTTAATTTTTGATGGTGTAAATTACCTAACCGGGTAAACTATACTAGACCGGGTCTAGGATTGTTTACTTGATTCGTAAAGTAAAAAGGCAAAAACACACAAATGACCAGGAAGACTGTAGGTGGAAACACCTGTAGCCCAATTGATATTATTAGTATAGGAGAATACACGGGAGCTTTTACAAGGGAGTTTAGAAAGAATGAATTCGGATCCCTTCCTTCAAAGGTTACAATAGTATTTATACTAAGTTAGGGGGGATAGAGTATCATGCAGCCACGTTGAGGCACGTTCCTAGGTGGTGGGAGGTGATGGCCTTCGTCATCTAGCTGTTTTGTCACCTTGCGAGGAGGATTGCTCCCTTTTTCCTGTAGCACTTTGGATTGATTGTTGGATCCTCCGTAGATCTTGGTCGCTACGGTCCAATCTCCTTTGGACCCTTCTCTGCCGACACTTACCAACCTTAGAAACTACACCGGATAATTTCTGAGGGATAAGTTTATCGAAATAGGGAATGAACAAGGTGATAAAGTAGTTTGACCGGTACACTATCCGAAGTTTACCGGTCAACATTCTGGCCGACCAGGCATCCTTTTATTGGCGATTGAGGTCTCTCCTTCAAGAATAGTCAACTCGACCGGTCAAACATTCGGATATTTCCTTTGACTGGTTCTGGGTGAATTACACTCATCAATTTTAAATGATGTTTACTAATAAATTTAAAAAGAAGTTATACTTCTCGTGGGTGCAAACGAACGATCGACCAGGCCTCCCATTGTATTTGTGGAGTTGGTCGGTTGTGAGGTTAGCCCACCTCTCCCAAACAAATGGCGGCTTTCTCGAGAAGGTTTCCGCCATGACCATACAATGAAATATAGCCCGGGTAGCGGGCAACCGTGTTAGCGAGTTACGAATCCAACAGGCGCGTGTTGACCAAGCGACAAGGTTTAGTCGTCATTCATACAAGGAAAAAAAGAAAAAAATTAAAAAAATAAAAGATGTTAGGTCGTGGAGCTCGGCATGTAAACGTCGGCCACACCAAATCCCAATCTGGGTGGGCGGTGTTTCCAATCAGTATTGCGAGTATTGCGCGCCTGACTCTACACCCGAGCCTAATAAATTACTCCCTCCGTCCTAAAATCATATTTTTAATTGTGTTTACGATGTTTGGATTACTTTATTTTCAATTCAATTTATTTGATTGTAGATGTAAAATTAAAAAATAAAATTTACTACCTCCGTCCCAGAGTATTTGTCCACTTTCATTTTTACACACCATCCAATACACTTCTTTAATTCATTTTATCTTGTAATTTGTACTCCCTCCGTTCTCAAAAACACTTCCTCTTTCATTTTTTCATTTCCAACAAAACACTTCTCCTTTCTATTGAAAAACCACTTTTACCCTTACTTTTTCATACCCTACATATCACATCACTCTAATAATCTATCCATCAAATCTTACTTTTACCCATCACATCAAGGGCAAAATTGGAAATCAACTATAATTTAACACTTCCTTATTTTTGCACCCAAATCAAAATGGGAAGTCTTTTTGCAAACGGAGGAAGTATATTAAAAAATTATAGAAATAATATATTAATAATCTATATGTTAAGACAAATCAAACAAGATCACACATGACTATATTTAAGCTTACAAATTGAGAGAATTGGATGAGTCAAAGTACTTAGATAAACAGTTTCAAAAGTTAAAACTGGACGAATATTCCGGGACGGAGGAAGTATATATTTAAAAACTACGGAGTACATCAAAAGTTTTACAAAACAAGAGGTGACAAGATTATATTATTTTATAAAATAACTAACAAAAATAGGTAAAAAAAATAATTTAAATTTTACCATATGAATAGTAACTGGAAAGATAGTTTTAGGACGAATAAAGTATTTTGGAGTACTTCAAAATGCTAATTTAATTTCTAAAAATCATGGGTATCCTGCTGAATAAAGGAAATAGTATGGCAGTTGGCGTAATTTCCGGATTTTAGGTTTCCTCCCCCACAAGGAAAAGGAAGGAGTATACTGTTAAAATCCAACCACAGTTATCCAAACGCAGAAACATCATCTTGGCCGGCCGAGTGACTTTCACCGGAGCTCTGGAATCAGCTATCGGAAAATGGCAGCGATCGATCTGGAGATGGTCCGACCCGATTCGGAGAGAGAGGAGAGCTGTTCTGCGAAGCAGATGAAGCAAAGCGGCGAAGGCCTGAGGCAATACTATATGCAGCACATCCACGATTGCCAGCTTCAAGTACGCCAAAAGTCCCACAATCTCAATCGCCTCGAAGCTCAGCGCAACGAGCTCAATTCTAAAGGTCAGATTTAAACCCCTAATTTTCAAAAAATTGCAACCCTAGACTAGTTGAATCTCTTATCGTGAGCCATGATTCAGCGTCATGTCGATACACCGATGAATAGCCTCAAAGGCGCGTTTAAAGTTGTGATCTTTGTGTTCGTATGCACTTCTCCCCTTGAATTGTATGATGGGTATGGAGAAGTAAGCACGATTTTAGCCAGGCGTTGTGTAAATCTACACTACACTTACAATTAATTACATTATACTGTCTAACCAAGCAATACCATGAATTACAAACCAGGCCACAGCAGATTGTGCATTTGTATATTTGGTTATTTGAAGTTTGAAATTTACACAAAATTTGTGGCCATTGTCTGGTAAAATTACCTGACACTTGACACTGCTATATGTGAGAACTATTGTCATTTTTAAACTACATCAAGATGAACTATTTCACTATAGTGTTAGTGAATGAACACTAATTTTTGTAATCCTTATTGTGCTCTGTACTTCTAGATTTTGTTTTGACCAATGTTCATTGCTCATCCTGTTTTCTTTCGTTTAGTGAGAATGCTGAAGGAAGAATTACAGCTGCTTCAAGAACCTGGGTCTTATGTTGGTGAAGTTGTGAAAGTGATGGGGAAATCAAAAGTTTTAGTGAAAGTATGTTGTTTCTATTATTTGTTACCATCCTCTGTTTGAAACCGTTTTTTGTAAGCCCACACACAGTTACCCATATCATCTGACTTTGTTGGTTTTTGTTTGCTGTTTAGGTCCATCCTGAAGGGAAATATGTGGTTGATATTGATAAAAGCATTGATATAACAAAGATTACTCCAACTACCAGAGTTGCTCTTCGCAATGATAGTTATGTTCTTCATTTAGTTTTACCAAGCAAAGTGGATCCTTTGGTCAACCTTATGAAGGTTGAGAAGGTTCCTGACTCTACGTATGATATGATTGGTGGTCTTGATCAGCAAATCAAAGAGATTAAGGAAGTCAGTATCTTTTTCATTTTTTATGTGTGTTAATTTTGTATGTTTAAACCTTCTCATCACCAGACAACACTGTTTGCTCTGTTTTAATTTTCACAATGGCTCTCTATTTTGTCAAAAAAAACCAGGTCATTGAGCTCCCCATTAAACATCCTGAGTTGTTTGAGAGTCTTGGGATTGCTCAGCCAAAGGTGAGTGATATTCTTTCCTGGCTTGCCATTATATATGATCATTGTTGTGATGGTCAGCCTATAATTTTTTTTAATTATTAAAAAAACAGGGAGTGTTGCTATATGGGCCTCCAGGAACAGGAAAAACACTGTTGGCTAGAGCAGTTGCACATCATACTGATTGTACCTTCATAAGGGTTTCTGGTTCTGAACTAGTGCAGAAATATATCGGTGAAGGCTCTCGTATGGTGAGAGAACTTTTTGTTATGGCAAGGTTTGCTCTTTACTCTTAGCTCCTTTATGATACAGTTGGATATTGATCACTCAAACTCGGAACTGAGAAAGAAATTTGGAAGTTTCATTAAGATATAAGAAGCATATTCCATGCATCAAGCAGTATTATAAAATGCAGAGTATTAATGACGTTTTCCTTCCAAGCTTGGATTTTGGGAATGTATTTTCTTTAGATTATATTTGGACCCCAGAAAATGCCAGGGAAAAAAATATGTCTGGGAAAGTCATTTTCTTGTGTTTGATTTGGCTTGGAAAAATGTGAAAAAAATTGAATATGTTTTTATTTTCTTAATACTTACTCCCTCCATCTCACAGAAAAAGGTTCACACTTCTACCTTTTCTTCTTAAAAAAATGAATATGAAGCTCACAACAAATTCTTACCACCCACTTTTCACTTTTCTTTAACTTTGTTAAATCAAACAGGTAACTTCTTTACAAGGGATTATAATATAGTACGAAGTAATGAATATAGAAAATGAGTGTGGATAGATATCAAAAGTGCCCTGGCCTTTTCTGAGTTCCAAATGAACATTTACTCTTTGTTTACTTTGGGTTCAATTGTTCATTTATGAGAGGCTTTGTCACATGTGATGAAAAACTTGATGAATTTCTGCTTGTTAGTTTGTTGACTCACAAAGAAAAAGCATACATGAAATAAATTTTATAAAGCTTCTGAAACAATGCTAGATGTGCTTTGTTCTGGGCATTGAAAGAGAACA